AGAGAGAGAGAGAGTTGGAGGACGGCGGGGCCCCGTTTTCCCGCGCAACTCCCAGCCACCCAGCCACGGGCGCTGGAAGTCAGCTCGGTCCGGAGTGTGTCGGTAATTAAGCCTGCGCCTCGAGTGATCTGATTTCTCTCCCTGATCAAACTTTCAGCGACTGAGCCTTTTGATCGTTCAATGTGATTTTGCTTTTTGTTTTGTTTTGTTTTTTCCAAGCTTTCTTTTCCACGCCTCGCACAGGGTCGGCAGGTGTGAACGATCGCAGACCCCTCTCTGTGTCGTCGGAGGGAATCGTCGTTTCGGAGTTAAAGTTTTTTCTTTACCTCGTTCGATTTTTCTCCTTTTTTTGTAAGCTGTCGGATGCATTCGTGTAGATATATTTCTAGTGGTTGGCGCGGGTGTAACACGCTGCCGTAGTGTGTTGTATTCTGGCTGTGGATTTCTGCTGTAGCAGGTGATGTGTCGGGAATTCAATAGATGGATAATAATGGGTTTGTCTTTTCACTGGTGTATGTGGATACTGTGTGCGTGTGTGTATGTGTGTGTGTATATGTGTGTATTTGTGTGTGCGCACGTGTGTGCGTGTGCATGCATGTGTGTGTGTGTGTGTGTGTGTGTGTTTGTGTGTGTGCTTGCGTGTATGTGTTTGTATGTGTGTATTTGTGTTTGTTCTAAATCTATGCTTGCTTGTTTTATAGTGTTGTACTGCGCTTTATAATTTCTAATATAGATTAGACTCTCCGTGGACCTGTTGTGTCTGCTTTTGAAAATAAATTTATTTCACATCTAGAATCTAGATCTATAAATCAGTAGGCCTATTTTGTTTCTTCATTTTTGTTATTTTTTGTTGTTGTTTTCTTTTCTTTTGTGGTTGCTCTTCTAATTCTATTCTATCTCACCTCACCATCATCTGTGTGGCGTTTCATTTTTCTTTTTCATTCTTCGCCATTCCTTTAAGCACAAGACTATATTTATCATTTCAAACACTTTCTCAGACTCCTCACTGGTAAATTTTCCCTCAAGCTCTCGCTCACTCACTCACTTTGATGCATTTTCCCAATGCTCTCTCTGTATGTGTGTGTGTGACTCTATCTCTCTCTCTCTCTCTCTCTCTCTCTCTCTCTCTATCACTCTCTCTCTCTCTGTCTCCCTCTGTCTCCCTCTGTCTCTCTATGTCTCACTTTGTCTCTGTGTCTCTCTCACCCACCATCAAACACAAACACACGCACTCACACATACACACACACACAC